CCCTGTCAGTGACTGAAAAACTGGCTAGTTGGATGTAGGAATGAAGATAGCTGCTTGTAGAACACAAAATCAGCCTCAGCTGTTGTATTCATAGCATATGCGTTCCACTGTTCCAGCTTAAGGGTCTTGATTGTGGGCAATTTAATATCCAGGGCTCAGGGCTCCATCTTATCACATTGCCACATGTCTATGTGTCCCCATTGATCTTAGAATTGTCCTGAGGACCCTTGGAAAAGTACTTGGAAAGTACCCTTTTGTACCAGATGGACAGGAGCAAAGGCAGTAGACTGGAAAGGGTGCTTCATGCTCATGATGCATCCTGTGAAGACTGGCAGGGCTTATGTTGCAGACCATGTGAGTCTCCAGTCAGGCAAAAACTGGATGGCAAGATCCAGCACTATTAGTAGCACTTTAAGCTTATCGAATGAATTTGATTCAATAGGTCAGAAGCAGAAAGCAGCTTTATTCTTTTTCCTACTGAACCTTTAAAACCTACTTAAAGGAATTATTCTTTCCCATCCCTTAAGAAATCTTAGGAAGATCTCACAGCTTCTAGGGTTCCTTTCACATATGAAAACAGTTTGATTTCTGTCACTGAGAGCTACATGAAGCATAATATCAAAACTCAGATCATTAATTAGTTTAAAACTTTTCCCTCTTATGCTTGCCATCTAACTGAAATTTTGTACCCTTTGATCAACATCTCCCTTTCCTTAGTTCTGGCCTGCCTCAGGAGAAGAAGCTCACAGTTTAGAAAAGAGGTAAAACTGGCCTCTTCACTCTTTTCTTTCTCCATCTGTTTTTCTACTAACTAAACAATCCTTCCAGAACCTGCAGGAATGGAGAGGAGCGAGGAAGAAGTATTATGGGACAGAACAGGACTTGGTGACTGGCATAGTTGCCATCTGACATCAGGATCTTCAACATAGCAGTTAAAAAAAAATGACAATTCCTTCTCTCACAGAGTGCATAAGCATGTTCTTTCATGATCCTTCACTGGGAATGTCTGGCTATGGACCATGCCCCCTTCAGCTGTCATTTTTGAGGCCCTTCAAAGCCCTTGAGCTTCTGATGGTATTCCTTTCTGATGGGATCTTGGTGTTTTCTAGGCAGTATTGTGTGGGATCCATTTTCATATTACCAAAGAACAGCCCCTTTCTGTTGGAATCACACTGTGCACAGGAAAATTCACAACTTTATCATGTTTTCAGTGAAAGGTTAGTTTGTTTCCAACATAATCATAGTATACTTTTGCCACCAGACTGGGGCCTCTTTGTTCACGTTTGTTCCCCTCAGTCTTCCACAGATAAGACTCAAATACTGATCCCTTTCAGCTCTCAAACTCCAGAGATAGCATGAATTTTTTCAAGTGGTTCTCATGAAACCCACTTTAGGGTGAAGAGTGGATGTCCAGAACAATGATAGTTTGTTCACATCTTTAAGGTGCACGTTTAACTAAAAATGTCAGGAAACTGATATTATTACCTCTTTGCTTTTAGGTATTTATAGTGTACCAATGTTGATTCATATGATATATGGGTCATCATTATTAAATGCAGTAAGTATTCTACTTTATGACTACATAAAAATTATTTATCCATTTCCCTATTGAAAAACATTTGATAGTTTCTAAATTTTTTATAGATATTTCTGCAGTTAACATCCATATAAATATGTGCTTGCACACATATGATTTTTTCCTATAACATATGACTATCAGAGAAATTCCTAGTTGTGTCAACACACTCTAGGTAACCCTTTTGTATAATATTCTCCCCTTGGATCTGGGCAGAACTTGTAACTTGCTTCTAGCCAATAGAATATGATAAAGGTGATGTGATTATCACTCCTGTGATTACATTACATTATATAAACTTGGTCTTAGACTGTAGAGATTTTACTTCTGTTCTTGAAAAAGTAAGCTGTCATGTTGTAAGAAGACCTGTGAGAGAGCCAGGTGTCAGAAATCATAGATGGCCTCTAGGAGCTAAGATAAGTCCACAGCTGACAATAGACAAGAAAAGGAGGATTTCAATTTTGTAACCACAAGAAACTGAATTCTGCCAACAACCACATGAGCTTGAAAGAGAACTTCTATCTCCAGAAAAAAAAAATGCAGTCTGACCCATACCTTGGTTTCAGCTTTGTGAAACCCCAAGAAAAAGAGCCAGTTAAGCTATGCTTCAGACTCTTCACACAGAGAAATAGCAAGATGATACATATATGTTCTTTTAAGCCACTAAGTTTGTGATAATTTGTTAAGCAGCAATAGAAAATTAATGGTAGTTTTATATGGATCATAGGATATGATCATTTTCTGTTTTAATAGTCAATGCCAAATTATTCTCCAATGTGGTCATATGAAATTTACACTGAACCATCAGCATACAAGAGCTTCTACTTTTTATCAGCCCTGTCTACACTTGATTGTAAAACTGAAATGAACACTATTTTTTTAAATGCTTAAACTATAGACTAAATTTCAGTGATTATGCTTTCTGAAACAAAAGTTTGTATGAAATGTCTGACACCTTTATGATCTTTACCAACACTCTCAAATCATCTAGGCTATATGGAAGGCTTACTGTAAAATAATCTTATTTATTTTTGTGCCAGGGAGTAGTTTAGGATATTAATTAGATTTGTAATTAGGACAAAAGCTAGAAAACCCTTGAACCACAAATAAGTGACAATAGGAATGCTACCATATTATAGAGAAAAAAACCCATCTGTTGGCATTTCTGTTTTCTCGGGAACCAAAATAGCAAATCAATTTATTTTCAATAATGTTTAAATTCAGGTGGACTTTTTTATTATAAAAGTAAAAACTAGTTAACTTAGAAAATTTAGAAAAAAGGATATATATCACCACACAAAGATAGGCACTGTTAACATTTTGGCATAACTTAAAGTCATATTTTAATTTGTTTACACTACATAGTTAGATCATGTGATAGAAATAATTCCTGTATTTTTTCACTTAAGAATTTAGGTAACTTCTATGTTACTGTACACAATTCACGAATATAGCATTTAATAGCTGCATTCGTATATAGCTTACTTAGGAAATACCACTTAGCCATTATTTTATGACTGAAGCATTTAGATTGTTTCTCTTTTTTTTTAAGTGATAACCACAGATTTGTTTTTGTTTTGCTACCAAAAGTTCATCACTTGTCCCTGAGGCCACATCAGAAGAACTAGGACAAGTGGTTTGAGCAGAAAGAAAGAGAAGTTTATTAATTTTCTGGCAAATGAGGAGAATGGTAGACTCTCCCCTTAAAGTACCATTGTCTTATCTATAAGAAGAAATACAGAGCTTTTAAAAGAGAGTTTTCAGCTTCAGGCTATTGCTGTTTAACTATAATTGATGGTCTTGGGAAACCCCATCTCTGGCGAAGACAATCGTGTGACCTCTGCCCAGACAATTCCACTGAACCATCTCTTGTGGTACAAAAAAAAAAAGAACACTTCCCTGGCCCTCAGATTATTGGCCTCAGGCAGGAATACAGATTTTAATTCCGCGTAAGGGTGAAGAGGCTTTAAAAAGACAACTCCTAAAACATTTTACCCTTTTTCAGGCTGTTGCCTCTGTTACATATTCCCCACTGTCAATTTTACCCTTCCATATCTATGGAAGGAAGGGCAATATAGTCATCGATCTACTTCCTGCTGAGTTGGGGCAATGTTTTTAGATGGAAGGTTTATAATTATATATACCATTGCAAAGTTTTGGCAGATTTACAAAAATAAATAATGTAACAGATTACCAGGTGAAAAGGGCATAAGCAACAACCACAATCATAATGTCAGCATTCTTCCCCCTTACCCCTCCAAAAAACTACAACCATAAGGATTGACAAGGTGGAATGGAGGTTACCTGATAAGAGAAATTTTACCCCACTTGATATCTAAGACACTAGTAGGACTACGGGTCCTTACTTTCACCTTGTACATAATGTCTGATACAGAGCTGGGCAAGAAAGAAACATGGGACTTCTGAGCATGGGGCTAGTATTTGCCCCCATAGGTGACCTAACAGACTGGCTTCTGAAAATTCAGAAATCATGTACAGGAATACTTGCATAGAACAAGGTTTAGGATGACAAACCCAGCAGCAAGACAGATCAGCAAAAGAGGTGATAGTCCAAGAAATCTTTACTAAGGAGTTATCTTTGTATCCTACAGACAGAACAAGTAACCAAAGAAAGGTTAGTGAAAATATAAACACTTTCATTTATCCTTCTTCTTAAACAGATACTTTAGATTACCTAAAGGCTGGTCTATCCACTGGGGGCTTGGGTCCTCTTCTTCCATGGGACACCTCTTTACTCTGATATGATGAACCTAAGGTTTTACTCCTGACAATTTCAATAAGGTATGAGTTGTTAGAGATATTTCATAGGGTTCATTCCACTTCTTTACCAGTTGTTGTTCAGGTCACCTGGTCTTCTAATTTAAGGGGGTGGAGGGGTGCCTCCAACCAGGGGAAGGACCTAAAAGAGGCAAACTCATGCATAATGGTTAGTATCTGAACCAGTCATTTGACATATTGCTTTACTCTGCTTTCTTTACTCATGATTATATTGTCATACTTACTTCATGGTGCTAGGAAGGGTCTCCCATAAACTGTTTCTTAGAAGATTAACTTAATCTTGCTTCTAGGGGCTACACTTACCTGGAAGAGGGAAAGCAGCAACACTTTATCTCACTTTAGATAGGTTTCCTGCATCAATTCCAGGATGCATGCAATTTCCATTCTAGGTGTAGGGCTTTGCTTACTTTCTGGGTTACCTCCCATACAAAGGAGGGTCTATTATCACTCTGTGTGAGGGAAAGGAGCCTATGAACGTTTTGATGACCTAAGACTCACTGATTCCACCATGTCCAGCTCCTTGGAGAAGTAGTTCACCAGGTTGCCACTGGGCAGTTCACTCAAAAAAGCTCATAGACAGTCTCTGAGCAGCCATTGAAGGGGAAGGAACTGCGGGTGTATTATCTTCTGTAGGAGCAGCTATTGTACATGAAGAACAAAGATGTGATCACTCTATTGCACACCCATGAATATTAGGGAATCTGGTCCTAGAATGATCTAGTCATCTTCTTCCTCTCCATCATCTTCAGCATCTCGTTTCCTCTTCTCCCCGCGAAGACTTTCTTCTTCCTCTTCTTCTTCTTCTTCCCCTTCTTCAACATAGTCATCATCATCTTCTTCATCCTGAATTTCTTCTTTCATTAAATATGAGAGGCCCACTTCCTCTTCGCCCTCTCCCAATTCTGAGCCTGCTTCATCTTCATCCTCATCTTCTTCCTCCTCTTCCTCCTCCTCCTCCTCATATCCTTCAGGTGGATCAGCTTCATCTTCCTCTTCATCTTCATCATCGTCATCTCCATCCTCATCATCCTCCTCTTCAGAGTCTGGCGCTTCATTATCCTCCTGATCAAATCCATCTAAGTATGTGATTTGCTGCAGCAGTTCAAAAATACTTTCTCTATAATATTCCAGGTTTGTGATCTCACAGTTAAACAAGTCAAGACTTTTCAAATTTTTAAGATTTTGCAGAGCTTCTACTGTACTGAGATCCTTGATTTTGTTTCCACTCAGATTGGAGGTATGGGTATATTTGGACATTTCTCTGCCAGGACTTCCAAGCCTCCAGAAATTATATTGTCACTAACCTCCAATTTTCGAAGTTTATTTAAGCTTGGAAGCCGGGCAAGTGAACTTAGTTCCACGTTAGCCATACTCAGAAACTCTAGGTTCTTAAAAGTATCATTCAGGCTTCAATTCCCATTGACACACCAGCATTATCAAGAACCAATTCTGTCACCTCCTCCGGCAGCTCTGTCTTAACTCCAGGTTAATCCTCTTCTTCATCTCCATGTCCTCTCCTGCTTTCTGCTACTACTCTCCTCCCTTTCTTGTTTCCTGCCTTTCCCACTACCCCCTACCCTAAATTTGAAGAGATTCGAAATGAATGAAAAGAAACGCAAATATAACGCCAGTACCACCATTAGGTGTGGGGGAAAAAGGAGAATAGCAAATGGAGTCAAGGAGTTGGACTCTAACTCAGCTGCCCCCCTCCTTGTCCCACACTAGCGCGCACACACATACACACACACACATTCAC